CGTGATTACATGCTTTTAACTTGCGGCTTAAGTTGCTATTCTTACTGAAAAAACCCGTTCATTGGATCAGTCAAGGCTTCTGCACTGAGTGGTTACTTCATACAGAGAGGTGAATTTTATTAGCTGACTGACTGAATTACTTCATGATTAGATAAGGCACCTATCGATTGAGACCAGTGCGAGCGTTGCGGCCTCTCTTAAAACTACATTGGGTCTGGCGTTTGTAGAATTGTTAAAGACAGAATAGGCGGTCAATCTTTAAACTTTGTCTTTGTTCTGGAATTCCTAAGATAGTCTTCAAGCCTTGCAGTAGTTTTGTCAAAAAATGCGTTCAGTAAGTTATTACAGTTAATTAACCCGGAAACGAAACCGATCAACGGACTTCCAACAGACCGACTTAATTTGACTAACAATAGACGGACCAAACTTTCACTGACAATAGACGGATCGAAACCCACCAATGACTGATGACAAACTTTACACGAGTCTTTCAGCCAATACCATCATGGCTAAACTGACCAATCACNAGAACTATTCACTTGACTCTGAAGATGACTTCCGCTCAGGTTGTCGAAACGTCAGTCACCAACAACAGTTCTTTTCAGAGCTACCCTCACCCGGATGATCACACTATACGAACTATCATCATCATCATCATCATCATCATCATCATCATCATCATTAAACATTTGCTTGTTTGTATCTTTTCCGATAGATAAACAACGCGACAAAACTAGACAATTCTATTAACTTTTACTCAGTATTGGCAGCCATTAAGAGGGGGGCGTAAGGGTTTGCGGTGATGCGGTTTTGCGTTAGTTTTGGTGCGGTTTTACGGAAATCTTTATTTTAACCTGCGGTATTGCAGTTTTATAAGACTAAGCAGTTTGCGGTTTTCATAAATTTTGGATCGCGGTAATTTCCCACAGATAAACAACGCAACAGAGCTGGACGAGTCCATTGACCTATATTTCATAATGGCACCGACTAACCAACGCGTTAAGAAACGATACGGAGCTGCAGTTCTCGATATACCAGGACACGAAACAGTTCTAAGACCCAAGGAAACGCTACAAAGATTGTGTGACCATTTGGGAGTTACTTGTTCTGACGGTTACTTCGAAAAATGCAGCAAGATTTTGTACGGAGCTCCGCCTTCACCAAAAACACAGTTGTTTGGACCGAGGAGCAAAAACAGCGCGTCACAAACATGATGAAGAAATACCCTTTTCTT